AAAATTTCCTTTATAAAAAATAGAATTAAACCAACTAAAATATACATAAACGGGGGAGTTAAATCATAGTTTTTTTTATAAAATTTAAATCCATCTGTAATATCAATTAAAAATATATTTAAACCAAAAAAGAATAAACCTACTCCAAGAAATTTAATGTTTTTTACCACTTTTGAATTAAATATTTTATCACTTGATAATAGAAAAACTAATTTTGTAGCAAAAAATAATATAAAACAAAATGAAAATAAACCTAGAAAACCCAAAAGAAAACTTTCTGAAGTGTTTTCTACCGCCACTACCATTTTTGTAAACGGATAATGAAATTGAATTATTTCAGCAGATTGCATGCCATTGTTATTAGTTGTTTTCCAATAACTTTTAGAAATATAATCATTTTCACTTTTTGTAAAAATAAATAAAATCATTAAAGTAAATATCCATACATTAGAAATTATAAAACCTATGCTATAAATAGAAATAGGAATTCTGAAGTAAAATAAAAGTGATTTTTTTCCAATAATATTCATTTTAATAAAATTTAAATGGTTAAATCGTTTTCTTGTTGAAGTTGTATTCCTTTTTTCAAAACATCTCTATATAAATAAACAAGAAATATGACCAAAATATGGATTAAAATAATGAAAAATTCTTCGTCAAAAATATTTTTATTTTCGCCAACAATTAAATAATATACCACGAAAATAGCCCAAAACAAAATTGGAATTCCATTAATCCAAATAAACTGGATAGATCTTCTGATGTTAATTTGAGTAAATGAAATATCTGATATAAAAATTTGAAAGAAATTTTTCATCAAATAGAAATAAAAACTGTAAAATCCGAAAAATAACACCATAAAAACGACAACAAAAGATCCTGCCGGAAATCCAATGCCGAATTTAATCAACGGAATATTTAAATAAACCATTTCTCCATTACTTTCTTGTAATCTCTCTAAAACTTCAAAATTTGTTTGAAAAATCTCTTCAAAAAGATACAATAATGCTCCAAAAGTTACATAAAATAATAAAGCTAAACTTAAAATAAACCATATATAAGATACGCCATATATAATTTTAGGAAAAGTTATTTTCATATTCAAATATTTTTAAATTTATATCGCAAATATATAAATAATTATTGTAAAACAATAATTATTTATTAAAATAAACAAATAATCAAATTAATTATTTGATTTTCAAATGGATTATTTTTATATTTACAGAAAATTAGTAAAAAATGGCATTTGAATTTAGAATTAAAATAAAAGGGAGCCAAGATCCCATCATCTGGCGAAAAGTAAAAGTAAATAGCAGTATTAGTTTTGATGATTTTCATGAAGTGATACAAACGCTTTTTGATTGGGAAGACTGCCATCTATACCAGTTTTCACCAAAAGGATGGAGTGGAACTCCTATACTCCAAAGACAACCAGAAGACGATGATTTTAATAATTATCAAGTAGCCCACCCAAAAACTTTCCCTTTTGGTGAATTATATGATGCAGGTAAAATAAAACTTCACCAATACTTTAAAAACGAGAAAGATAAAATAGTATATATTTATGATTTTGGTGATGATTGGTTTCACGAAATAACCCTAAACAAAATTACAGACGAAATTTTACTAAATCCAATATGTACAGGAGGAAAAGGAAAAGCTCCTACGGAAGACTGTGGTGGCATCTGGGGATATTATGAATTGGTAGAAACCATCAATAATACCAAGCATCCTGAACATAAAGAAATGATGGAATGGATGGGATTGAAAAAGGGATATATCTGGAATGTGAATGAATTTGATTTAATTGGCATCAACGATAATCTAATGGGGTTATAATGAAACCTATGTTTTTACTGCTTTTTGGTTTCTTTTTCAACCTGTTTTCTTCTCAAACCTATACCGCAAAAATCATAGGAATTACTGATGGAGATACTGTTTCTATCCTATATCAAAACAAAAAAAAAAACATCCGTTTGGCCCATATAGATGCTCCAGAAAAAAAACAACCTTTCGGGCAAAAAGCCAAACAATTCATTTCTAATCAGATCTTTGGGAAATTGGTTACACTCATAATTACCGACAAACCAGATAGAAATGGTCGATGGATTGCAGAAATATTTTACAATCAACGAAACATCAACCAAGATTTAGTGCAAAATGGTTTAGCATGGCATTTCAAAAAATATTCTAAAAATTCTTATTATAATCAGCTAGAATTACAAGCCCGAAAAAATAAAATTGGCCTTTGGAAAGAGCCTAATCCCACTCCACCTTGGAAATGGAGAAGTAAAAAAATATAAGCTTTAGTTGATAAACTATATGCCATTAAAATTTTTTATATATTTGTGGAAATCAACTAAATCATATCATTATGGGAAAAGGAGACAAAAAAAGCAAACGTGGCAAAATTACCATGGGTAGCTATGGAAAAACCAGACTTAGGAAATCCAATAATGCAGTCGTGGCTGCTAAACCAGTGAAAGAAAAAAAGGTAGCTCCTGCAAAAGAAGTAAAAGCAACCCCTGCCGTGGAAAAACCAAAAACCACTAGAAAAAAGAAAACCGAAGAATAATCTTCGGTTTTTTAATGTTTTTTTGTTAGAAATTTTATTTTCCGCCCAGTATAGATCCTAACAAACCGCCAAGACCTCCTTGGTTTTGGTTTTTTTGCTGTCCTCCACCCAACACAGACCCCAAAATATCTCCTACAATATTTCCGGAAGATTGTTGCTGTCCACCACCTAATACTGATCCTAGGATTTCATTCAGTGGGTTAGAAGGTTCAGCTTGTTGCTGTGCTCCTCCTAAGATACCTCCTAAAAGATCACCCAAACCACCAGAATTCACTCCATTGGTTTGCTTTTCTTTGCCAATATACCCCATGATAATTGGAGCCAAAACAGAAAGAATTGGACCAATTTTATCCATAGAAATCCCCGTATTTTGGGAAAGCTGGTTTTCTACTGTTGCTTTTTGCCCACCAAATATATGATCCAATATAGAATTCCCTTCAGCTTGTCTTTCAAAAGCTTGTTCAGGATTATTCAGTATGCTACCATCATGGTTTTTATCCAAAGCATTATTCAGGGCTTCTGCCTCTTTGGCATCAGCCGATTTATTTCTAAGATAAGAAATAATCAGAGGTGCAGCAACGGCTGCTAGTGCAATCATTTGATTTTTCGAAATTCCAAATTTGCTTTCAGATTGTTCTGCAGCAGGGCTATTGGAAAGCCCAGAAATAAGGTCTAATAAACTCATCGTTTGTTATTTTAAAAATTAATAAATAATCGAACCAAATGTAACAAAAATTATTCCGAAAAAAACAAAAAAACTAATTTTTTATAATCGGAATATGAGAACACGCCTCCCCAAACATAAGTGATTTCACAATAGGAGCTAATTTTGCAACAAGTTCTATGTAACCATTTTCAGGAATATCCACATCACTACAACCCTTTACCAGAACTCTTTTACCAGCTAAATCTTGGAAATCATACTCCTCAATTGCTTGGTGAAGAAGAATCATTTCCAATTCTTTTTTAGTCCCATAAACCATCTTTTTTACAACTCCACATAATCGAGCCGTCATCAAAAAAAAAGCCCATAAAGGAACAATAGCATCGGCAGAATTATACAAATAAACAAAAGAATCTTTATATTTTTCTAAATCGAGTTGTGCCACCTTTTCCCGAAAATCTTTTTCCCGAAGCACCATCCCTTCCCATAAAAAACCTTTTAGATCCAAGGGAACCCTTTCTCCTTTTGGCATCAATACAGAGAGGTCAAAATTCACCAAACCGCTCTCTGCCACTCTATTTTTAATTTCTAAACCTGTTTCCATTCATTACAATTATTATAACATTTCTCCACAAAATTAAACTATTTTTTTTAAAAAAATTATTTAATATTTGGGCAGCTTTTCCGCCCTCCATTCCCGCTTTTTTGTAAATTTGCCAAAGCTTTTCCAAAGGCTTATTTACAAAAAGAGCTCCACTCAGGTCGGGCTGCGAGTCATTTCGTTTTTTTGTAGTACCCTTTGGGATTTGCTAGAACACTTTTCTTTACCAAAAGTACATACACTAAATCAACCATTTTGAAATACTACATCATCGCCGGAGAAGCATCGGGAGACCTACACGGGAGTAACCTCATACGAGCCATCAAAAAAAAAGATCCACAAGCCGTCTTTCGCTTTTGGGGAGGCGACCTCATGGCAGAAGCCAGTGCAGAAAAACCCATCAAACATTACCGAGAACTCGCCTTCATGGGATTCTTAGAAGTAATCCTGAACCTGCGAACCATACTTAAAAATATTGCGTTCTGCAAAAAAAGCATACAAGAAGAACAACCCGATATATTGGTCTTGGTAGATTATCCGGGCTTTAACCTTCGTATTGCAAAATTTGCTAAAAAACTAGGAATAAAAGTAGTCTATTACATCTCTCCACAACTTTGGGCTTGGAAAGAAGATAGAGTAGAAATTATTAAAAAATTCGTGGACGAAATGCTGGTCATTTTACCATTCGAAAAAGAATTTTACCAAAAACATGGCATCACCGCCCAATTTGTAGGACATCCTTTATTGGATGCAATAGCCACTCTACTACCTATTCAATTTCAAGATTTTAAGAAAGAAAATGGATTAGGAAACCAAGAAATCATTGCATTACTTCCAGGTTCTCGCAAACAAGAAGTAGAGAAAATGTTAGCCATCATGCTTTCTGTAAGACCTTACTTCGCAGAATATCAGTTTGTAATTGCCGGAGCACCAGGATTACCAGCATCTTTCTACCAAAAATACTTGGACCAAAATGTTCATTTTGTGAGTGGAAAAACTTATGATCTACTTCGCTGTTCCAAAGCAGCATTGGTAACCTCTGGCACTGCTACTTTAGAAGCGGCATTGCTAGCAGTCCCAGAAGTGGTTTGCTACCGAGGAAGTGCCATTTCTTACCAAATTGCCAAAAGATTAGTGAAGCATATTCGGTACATCTCTTTGGTGAACCTCATCCTGAATAGAGAGGCGGTAAAAGAACTGATCCAAAATGAACTCACTGCTGAAAATCTAACGATAGAACTCAAAAAAATATTGGGCGAAGATTACAAAAGAATTCAAGTTGATTATCAAGAACTGCACACCATACTTGGCGGACCAGGAGCCAGCGAAAAAGCGGCAGAGTGGGTAGTGCAAAATTAGTAGAAAGAAGAAAGACATTAGGTGATTTAGAGATGCTAAACGCTTGATTTTATATATTAAAACATTAATTTATTCATTACTAGATTAATACAATTACAAATTTTCAAATTACTGCATTTTTAAAATTGACTTTTTGCCTGATTCTAAAAAGTTTTAATCCAAAATCATAAATAATCATTTCAAATAATCTTTGATTAGAGATGAATAATCTATTGATATGCATGTGGAAAATACTTTGTAAAAAGTCTTTTAAATCAACCTTTAACTCATTATTTATGAATTTATCCTGAATTTTTTGTAAAATCATTTTAGTTTCTGCCAAATTCTCCATAATTAATTATCGGATTTCTTTTGATTCCTCATCTTCTAGCCAATTCATATATTTTGGTAGAAAATCTTTATATTTTTTATTAAGCTGAATCCGCATATTTTTGTAAACTTGAAACTCCTTTTTAAAAGCTTGGTCATAGCTGCAGAACACATTTATTCTTTGTTCTAATGTGAGACCCAATTCTAATAAAATCCCATTTATCATAATACAAAATAGTCATAATTTTCTCTTCATCATCTAAACTTAATAATTGGATAACTAGCAAACTACTAGAGGCAAACAAACATTCTGCTTCATCTATTGAGTTTTCTCCATATCTTTCCAGTTCTCTTTTATAGACTTCCAAACTTATATTTGAAATTTCACCAGAGGTAAAATAATCGGTAAGATTTTCAATCGTTTTATTTAAAACATATTGAAATTCATCACTTTGACTTAGATGAAAACGACATAGGATATGCGGTTTTGGATCCTGATACCTTATAAAAAACCATTTACTAATTTTCTTTTCTTTTAACCCAACTTGCAGAAATTTTATATTCAAAAGAGTAAAATATGTTAAATTTCAGGAATTTTAAGTATTCTTAAAAATGTAATTTGCAGATATGCAAAATTTTAGAAATTTTTTAATTTCTAAAAGTGATTTGTAGTCCCCGAATTTAATTTTTTATTCGTATTTGTTTTGGTGTTTTTGCAAAATGTTTATAAAATTAATTGTTAAGACCGATCTTGAAACTAAAAAAATATATTAATACTTGCGTTTATGCGAAAGTTATCGCATTGGTGATAAAGAAAAATCTAA